AGGACTTACAGTTCGTCCAAACATAGTTGTTTTGAGGTCCCTAGCACGGAACTATGACTTCATATGGCGCAGAAATAACTTCATAATTTCCAAACAACCGCGAATTTTAATTTTGTAGACTGCTGAATGTTAATATAAAACTCTTTTCGCAGACATCTCCTGTTATCAGTGTTCGAGCAACATATCATTTGCAGACTGTGCTAAGAACCAAACAAGAGTGAACTGCACATTACCAAAGAACCGCTGTGTTAAAGCAACATACACTTCAAAGGACGACAATGGAACTGTAACATACCATAAAGGATGCACCACAACTGACCAGTGCTCAGAAACAGCCAAGAAATCATTTGTGGAATGTTGCAGCCATGACATGTGTAACAAAGGCAATTTTGCTGACGTATTTTTTTTTTCTCTGCTACTTAGGCAGCTTTAAGTGCATAATACGAGTAGTTTTGTTAAGGCGGGGGGAACACATAAAAACACACCATTTTTTCAAACTTTTCTCATGGCTAAGATTTCATTCTAAATCATGGCAAAGTATACATTTTTAAAAAGTTAAAGACCAAAACTTGTGAAAAACATTTTTTTGTGCCCTAGAACAATGGGAGGCGCGGCGGCCTCATGGTTAATGCGCTCGATGCCGGAGCGAACCGTCCGGGTTCGATCCCTGGCCGGGGACATTGTGTTGTGTTCTTGGGCAAGACACTTTGCTCTCACAGTGCCTCTCTACACCCAGGTGTATAAATGAATTTCAGGCTGGGGCATGCCCTGCGATGGACTAGCATCCCATCCAGGGGGGAGTAGAAATACTCCTAGTCGCTTCATGCTACTGAAACCGGGATAAGCTCCGACCTGATGAGCCACTTGACTCGTATACAGACTTTACCTACCTAGAACTATATTGTAACTTGACACCGGCTGATTAAATCTGCCACCTACTGGCGGATACCAGTGATTGTTTGAGAAAAGATTATTCCTGATCAAGACCTGTTCAGAATGAATAATTTTTACATTTGTTAAAAGAAGACAAATAGCTTACATTTTTAAGCACAGAGATTTTTGAAAAGTTAAAAACATATGAAATGGTGACCAGTCAAATCTGATACAGAAATCCAGCATATGTTTTAACTTCGACAGAATGCACAGGATGGAAAGGTTCTATGGTTAAAACAAAAAACTTACTTAGAACAACAAATCCTAAAAATTTCAGCTCAATTGGACAAATCCTTCTCAAAATATATTTTCTCAAAGGCAAAAATAACTCGTTTTGAGAAAACGAGCTTTGAACTTCCAGTAACAGAAATTCTCAGAATAAGACTTCAATACCTTAAGATTCAAATTATATTGTACCTTAAGAACCAAAAAGCCCAGGCTATCTATATCGATTATGATGAATATTCTAAAATCTCTTCTTCGCCTAGAATCGGGCCTCACTTGTTTCGAATGCAGTAGCACGGTCTCTCATGAGGAGTGTCAAGAACGTCACCAACAAGTCACGTGTCAAAGTTCCATGGCTGACCGTTGTTATTACGCGTCGATGCAGCAGACCTCGCAAGATGGATCCAGTGTTACAAAGCGCTTTAAACATGGGTGTATCAATAATAAAGATTGTAGTAACACTGCAAACATTTTCGACAAATGCACTACTTCTACTGGACAATGTGAAGTGCGATGCTGCAGCGAAAATTTATGCAATGAAGGTAACGTTGGGACGACGGTTAACAATATAAAGCTACCAAGTTACCAAACCAGAGCATCTCCAAAAGTATTCGTTCAAAGCAAAGCGTCCAAACCTGATAAGCGTGTGTCAGTCATGACGTCACAGAAAGCGACAATAACGTCACAAATTTGGATATGTCCCCCTTTTGGATCCGCCATCTTGGAATTCAATGGACAGTTCCAAAAACCAGAAAAAGAATCAAGGATAAGGAAAATGTAAAAAAAGTGTAATAAAATCGTCGCAAAGTTCCAATTCGAACTAAAACAGAAGCTCAAGCCTAAAAGCCCAAATTTGGGTAAAAACGACCTTTCTAAATACGGCTGCCATATAAACGTTAAGTCATGTCACAGAGTGTGACCACTGTAGCTTGAACATTGCTGTTGTAAGAAATTAATGAAATCAGCGCGGGCACTTTGTGTCTCACCCAAGCTCATATCGATTTAATAGATAAGAGTTGCTGTTTTAACTGCTCTTTATATTTATGTCCTTTTTTCAGGGATCAAAGAAGATAAAGCAACGCCAGAGGTTCCAACAGAAGAAAGTACGGTCTTCGATATACCGATTGCATACATATCGTTGGGTGTCGCCTGTAGTTTGTTGTTACTGTGTTCTGCAGTAGCCTTCTGGAGCCACAGGACGTCCAGTCGCAAGCGGCTTGAAAGGTTACCTCTTCCACTTGCACCCTCTGTTTCGTGCAAAACCTCATAATAGCAGTTGTAAGGCAGTTTTAACACATGTTATGTGACAGAGTATATTAAATCCGCTTTCCTAGTTTGATCACCCAATCAATTGTATACTAATGACTAAGCCGGTACTCTTACCCTTTATAACCACTCGCAGAAAATCTTCAGTTATGAGCAGTAAAGGCATGATGTACTTATAAAAGCTGCTTTGTCAAACAGAAACCAGTGGGCAATGCCAAGAACACTATGATAAACGGCATTTTTGTCATTATAATTACAGGTCAGCTCGGCGTCGACGTGAGATTATTCCATTAGACAAATGGGAAATTCTTCCTGAACAAATAGAATACGAAGAAGAGCTGGGTAGAGGAGCGTTTGGTGTGGTCTACAAAGCAATTCTGAAGAAGCGACAAGGAATAGAAGTGTTTGACAGCAGAGATGTGTTGGAATCAAACAAATCTTATCAGGTGGTTGCCGTCAAAAAGTTACAAGGTGCAGGTTTTGCAATGATTTTTGTCGTTGAATATGAAGGTGTATGGGTTTTATGAAGACGAATAGTGATTTCTTGTTTTTATGAAATCATTGTCAAGACTGAAAGGAGTTAAAAAGGCCTCAGAAAGACCTGCGAGAGAATCTTGAAAGCATGCATGATATAGACACGAGGAACGATCCACGATTGCATCTTGGCTTTCAATTTTGGACTCTATCCTGTGCTTGTATTGTTAGATTTTCCTTACAGTATCAGCCTTGCTCAACTGTGTTTCTATTTTTGGCTGATCAGATCTTTCACAGATTCTACGTTTATCAAGAGCATTTTAGTTTGCATTACCTTGCCACATTTGCATGTAGATCGACATGAAGAGTCCCTCCTTGTGGCAACAACATGAAACTGGAACAATGAATTTCACCTCATATTTTGGCAACTGTCTTTACGAATTTCCGTCCCCTTTTTCGGAAGAAGACATTTTTTTGTTCCCCGAAATTAACGATCCTCCGGAGGTAGCTAGTGAGCCCCAAAGGCTGCTAATTCAAGAATAAGGAGGGTCGTTACTTTCGGAATTTTATGTTCTATATATATTCTTTCCTTTCTCACAGAAGAAGTTGTTTTTTTTTCATGAAATACATAACATATCGTCACAAAACCAATCTGAAACCTAGAAAATGAACTGACTGTGTTTTAGATGGCATGAAACACACCAATATTTTTCGAACGGCTTACATTAGGGTTTGCTTAACAATTGAAGCTTAGCATTATGGTAACGACGTGACTAGTGGTAGAGACAAAATATCTGGTTTTCAATGATTTCCTTGTCGTTAGATGATCCAAGTGAAGCACAAGAAGACGAATTCCGTGTGAGGTAACAACATGACTATTGGTAGAGATAAAATATCTAGTTTTCAATGATTTCCTTGTCGTTAGATGATCCAAGTGAAACACAAGAAGACGAATTCTTGTTTGAGATATCGATGATGAAAGTGTTGGGTGCACACCAGAATGTTGTGTCCCTGGTTGGATGTTGCACACTGCAGGATCACAAGTTTCTGGTGATAGAGTACGTTCCATTTGGTGACTTGCTGCATTGGTTACGACGCAAGAGAAGATCGGTAGGAAGTTGTCGCATTGTCTCAAAAGTTTATATTATCTACTTTGACTCTGTCATGTGAAGACGAGGATGCAACCTTTAGCTCCAGTCTTGCTCCAGATCTTTGCTTGCCACAAGGAATGCCACGCGGCCTCTGTGCACAGAGATAGATGCATGTAAGGTATACAATCAGGTAGAGGAGGAGGGGGAGGGGTTGGGGCTGGAGTGTTGCAATTACGATAAATTACCGGTTCTGTTTACGCGTTCCCCTTAACAAGAGACTCTCTGATCAATGAAAGCGTACTGGTACATCTTACTCACGCAGGGACACTCTTGTTGATTGTATTCTAGATCGAGCCAAATCTGGCCACCGATGGACCGACGATAGATAAACGTTGTGACGAGAAGCAAGGACATAGCAAATCTTGCCAAGTAAGGTGCCTAAATTACAAAAAATAGAAAGTATTAGAACTTTTCATTCTGGATGATATTTTTGTTTGCGGCTGCGACTGGTAGAGGGCAGTACAACAAATCCCAAATTGTTCTACTCTGTAGGAGTACCTATTTTTTCCATGACAAAGACACCGGCAAGACTATCCACATTTTGGCAGACCAATGCAACCTCTGTGAATTCATATCCGATCACCATGAAGAAGATATAGGTTGTGCATAAGTTAAATGTTAATTCAGTTCACACAGGAAACGCAAGTTGTCCTGCAAGAGACGACGGAAGAAGATGCACTGACAGACCAAACCTCAGCAAAGATGAATTCAACTCTATCATATGACAACGAAGGTTTTATCCTTGATTTGACCAGCTCGTCGGATAATATTGCTGAAGTGAGAGCGAGCTTTCAGTGTTTTCTTATTCTATTTACATCATTTAAATTTTCGCATTTTAGAAGCCCCAGGGACGCAGGTAAAACAGAAAAGAACAACAGTAAAGTAGCAAAAAATAAAAGTTTCCAGTTTCAGTGCAACTCAAGTAGTTATGTAATATCACAAACGGTATATGCGCCCGCAATATTTACTCGTGCATTGATGTCCTACATTTTATTTACTGGTCAGCAGAAATAGCCCAAAAAGTTAACGGATGAGAGACCGACCCCCAATTTACATATTATTCGCATAATCTCCACACTAACAACAACTCGTAACTTGCTATTGCAATTCATGAGTTAAAACGGTGACCGCAGTAGTTGGTTCTTACTTTTGCCATATGAGAATGCTCAAAGCATGCTCTTATACTTGGTATTTACTTCGTGCCACAAAAAAATTTCAATTGGTAGCAATTGGGCAAATCTGAAGAGTGGGCATGTCTCCTCCTTTCAATTACTTTCTTGTTGATGTGAAATGCCTTATTTATAACAAACCAACTCTTATCGCCATACACAGTTGGTTAAATGTCTTGTTTTGTCTATTCAGGATGAGGGTAAGATTTCGTTGAACACAGAAACTGACATCGAACTGTCGGCGATACCGTTGACAACACAGAGAAAAGCTTCTGAACATTTGCTTTCGGACGAGAATCTCTATGATGGACATGAAGGAGACGACAGCTTTACCTCACAGCAGTTGTTTTCCTTTGCTTGGCAAATAGCAAGGGGGATGGTAAGGTCAAGATTCTTCCATACAAACCGACCAAGCTTGGTTAATAAGATGCTTATTAAAAACTTCAATTCGCTTATTGTAGCTAGTGCGTAGTCGCTGCCATTAATTTTGCGAATGAGGATGAAAAATTTGGTCAGAAGAAAGTCGTATTTTTTCCACGCGTTTAAGTCGCTCTTAGTATAGTATTGAGTACCCTTGCTTCTGGGCTTGCAAAAGCGTCTCAATTTCGTATTCAGTTGGTGTTTTGGTTGCCTGGTTTGAACTTTAATTTAACAAAGTCTGCTCGTTTTATTTGCCTTTTTTCTCTTCGTCTTTAGTTTCCTCCATTAGCATGTATGTATTTTTTGTTTGCAACTTTCTCACTGCCAATGTGAAAGGTAGATGGGAAAATCTAGCCTGCCGTTAACGTCGATTTTAACAAATCACTTTTGTGAGTTTGGTAGTTCCCAGTCTTTACGGAACACCGTCAAATAATAACAAGAGTTGTGTGAATAAAGTGGTATATACTTAAACGGTTATTTGGTCACATAGCGTGGTTGATCTTCTTTTAAGACTAATGTGTTTTCTTAAAATGCGTAGTTTCTCTTTTCTTTTTTCTCCCACTCAAGTCTACGAACCGATCAATTTTTTTTCTCATCCTTTGCTGGTTGGTTGACTAAGTAAGTAAAGGGGGGGGGGGGATAGTCAAAGTTATGATGCAAGTAGCATGAATTATGAGTAAAAATCGACTGCAAAGCTGGAAAATAAAAAATCACGTATATGTTGACAAGGAGGATAACAGCTTGCCGATGTAAGAGTGATAAGTCATCAAAGTCTTTTTGTGTGAGGTCCATCAACTTCTAACATCATAGAGTATTATGCCCCTTCTAAAAATTTTTCTTCTTGAACAGAATCACCTCGCAGAGAAAGATTTCGTTCATCGTGATCTTGCAGCCCGTAATATTCTGGTTGGTCACGATAATCGGGTCAAAGTGTCGGACTTTGGGTTGATGCGTCAAATCTATGAAGACGTGTACACCGCCAAAAAGACGACAAAGCTTCCTGTGAAATGGATGGCCCCAGAATCGTTCGAGTTCAGTGTTTTTACAATCAAAAGTGATGTGTAAGTAGATCTCCTGACTGTGCATTTGCTTCAGTGGCGGATCCAGACCTTGAGCTAAGGGGGGTGGGAGAGTGCGGTTTTGTTTTACTTGCCCTGTCGGCTTTTCTTCCTTCTGTGACTTCTTTTTTTTTAACCCAAAATAAGGGGGCCCGGGCTCCTCCCCTAGATCCGCCACTGTGCTTCACTGCGTTACGAATTGACATTTCTTGAATATTGTTATTTGTTAAAAGCTCAAGTTATTTTTTTGTAATTTCTGTAGAACAACAATAAGAACCAAAACTACTGAAAGCCGAATTTCAAAGAGAATGAACCATTTAATTTAATGATAAATGCCTTGCGTAAAGAAAAATGTAATACTTTGTTGTAAATTTCAAACTCTGCTGAAACACACAGGGAGAGATAGAAATGCTGCGTTTAGCAGGCAAAAGTGAATACCTCTTTGACGTGATGGTCTCCTGGAGTAGACACACCAACACGCCCTATAAATAGGCTCTAATGGATTTAGTTGAAGCAAAACATGATGAGGTGCTAGAAAGAATCTATTTTTTCTTAATAGTTATATATTTTTGCTTAATATTTAACAGTTGGTCCTACGGTGTTCTTCTCTGGGAAATGGCCACCATGGGTACGTAACACCTGCTCAGGTCGCTCTTTTTGTTTCTTATTTTTATAATCTAGTTTAGAAATATGGTTTGGTTTTCTGTACACTCGATCGAAAAACATAGTTGAATGTTTGTACTTAGGAAGAAAGAAAAGCCATTAACAAACTGAATAAAGCAAATCAGTTGAATAAACTCAGTTAAATAAGAAGAAACATATGTCAAAAATTCAATTCGTCCGCCGCTGAAGAGAGACACTCAAATTGTCTAAGCGATGTAAAAGCCTCCAATGATCATTTAGGACCATAAAAGGAAATGCAGGTGTCAGAAAACATATCCATATAAATATTTCCACAAAATACTTAGCTTTTCGGCGAAAATGAACGAAAACTCCTTTTAGACGAAATGCCGCCGAAATTTCTAAAGGCCATTGTTTTCATGTCTGCGAAATTTCTGTGATCTCTGTTTCGCGTTATAGGTGGACCAAAACCAAAGTTAGAAAAACCATAGTGGCGGCTGTAAAACCACGATGTAGACTTTGAAAGACGAATCAAGATCATTTCGACCTAATATTAATTAGCATTATTGCTTTTACGCAGCTAAACAACATTCTAAAACATGGTCAAAATACAACGGGCTGACCAGGTCCACGAAACATTCTCCATTAACTTTTGGTACATGTGCACACTAGCTTCTGCACTTTTTTGTCATTGCTTTTTATTTACTGATATCGGATCCAACGCAGGAGGTGCACCTTACCCCACAATGACCAACACACAAATATGTGGAGCACTGAAAAATGGTTATCGGATGGAAAGGCCGGCAATGTGCTGTGATGAAGTGTAAGTATGACTGAGTTTATCATTCGATGCATTTCTTCTTCTTTTTCATTGGCCGAGAGCCCACCACTTAACCATTAAATAACTGCCTACAAATAATGGTCTGCTCATGCGTAGAACCATCTTAATGTGCTTTGCCGCACGGCAGATAATCTGTTGACGAGTAATTGTAAACACGCTCTTGTGTGAAAAATGGCTGATCGCTTCTCTGAACTATCAGAGAAGTTGGAGCACGAATAAACAATTTCTTTTGTTTTTGTCCCTCAAGCCTCGGTACCAAGTAGCAATTTTAATAGATCGAAATTAGCCTATCGTTCTTGTTTTGATTTTCTGTTACTTGCATTGAGATATATCAATAAAGGACCTATAAATGTTGCAATAAGCGAAAAAAAGTATTGTTATTCTTTTTCTAACTTGATAATGAAACGTCGTTTTTAAGGGTTAATATTCATTTTAAAGAACTGTTGGATCAGTATTTACAAAATTAAACTACTGCAGTTTGTCTTCAGAGCCGTTTTTTCCCCTAAATTTTCACCTTCTTTTAACAGATATGAATTGATGAATGAATGCTGGAGGGAAGATCCAGCTACTCGCCCCAGTTTCTCGGAGTTGATGGGCAGAGTGGAAACTGTCATGACAAGGAATGTGCCATACTGCGACTTGAGCAAGCATGACGAGTTCAGCCCATATTACAGCGTACCCGTTGATGCCTTTTCCGAAACAAGCGTGTAGGGGTGCTAGCGATGTGTTTATATAACAGGCGCGAAAAAAGTCGCTAGTTTTGACTCAAGTTTTGCTTGTGCAAGATAAAACAAGAGAGAAAAAGAATCATCCCTATAGTAACTGTTGTTCCTAAAAAAAAACTGATCTAATTTATAGTTAGGCAAAAAAGTTAAGGGCGGTTAGTTTTGTTTGGACATACATAAGCACAAAAGAGGAATCACGTGGGAGAAAGTGAATGTGTGGAAGTTTAGGAGAGGACTTCACAGGAGAGAGACCTTTTAATTTTAACTTGCGCTAAACAATGGTTTACACATTACATGTTTTAACTTTAAAATTTCTCCTTCTTTGTTTTCTTTTTATTCACCTGCTGCCAATATAGAACTTAAATTATACGGAGAGTTAACAAGGAAACCAACTGTTTAATTTAGCCTCCAGCTCGAACTTGAATTTCAATAAAGATAGAATCAATTTTATCAAGCCATATAATTTCAGGATGTGAAATTATTCAGTTAATTATATGACTGAGCTCAATGAAGAATTATTATTACTATTTCATTACGCAATTTGCGCGGAACAATGTGACAGAGATACTACGTTATTTGAGGTAGTTAACTTAACTCTATTGATAACTTATTTCGATATGTAGGTCGATTCCTTTTGATGGTGTAGACGGTTCAAACTCAGGATTATGTTCAGGGTANATTTTTTTGTGCCCTAGAACAATGGGAGGCGCGGCGGCCTCATGGTTAATGCGCTCGATGCCGGAGCGAACCGTCCGGGTTCGATCCCTGGCCGGGGACATTGTGTTGTGTTCTTGGGCAAGACACTTTGCTCTCACAGTGCCTCTCTACACCCAGGTGTATAAATGAATTTCAGGCTGGGGCATGCCCTGCGATGGACTAGCATCCCATCCAGGGGGGAGTAGAAATACTCCTAGTCGCTTCATGCTACTGAAACCGGGATAAGCTCCGACCTGATGAGCCACTTGACTCGTATACAGACTTTACCTACCTAGAACTATATTGTAACTTGACACCGGCTGATTAAATCTGCCACCTACTGGCGGATACCAGTGATTGTTTGAGAAAAGATTATTCCTGATCAAGACCTGTTCAGAATGAATAATTTTTACATTTGTTAAAAGAAGACAAATAGCTTACATTTTTAAGCACAGAGATTTTTGAAAAGTTAAAAACATATGAAATGGTGACCAGTCAAATCTGATACAGAAATCCAGCATATGTTTTAACTTCGACAGAATGCACAGGATGGAAAGGTTCTATGGTTAAAACAAAAAACTTACTTAGAACAACAAATCCTAAAAATTTCAGCTCAATTGGACAAATCCTTCTCAAAATATATTTTCTCAAAGGCAAAAATAACTCGTTTTGAGAAAACGAGCTTTGAACTTCCAGTAACAGAAATTCTCAGAATAAGACTTCAATACCTTAAGATTCAAATTATATTGTACCTTAAGAACCAAAAAGCCCAGGCTATCTATATCGATTATGATGAATATTCTAAAATCTCTTCTTCGCCTAGAATCGGGCCTCACTTGTTTCGAATGCAGTAGCACGGTCTCTCATGAGGAGTGTCAAGAACGTCACCAACAAGTCACGTGTCAAAGTTCCATGGCTGACCGTTGTTATTACGCGTCGATGCAGCAGACCTCGCAAGATGGATCCAGTGTTACAAAGCGCTTTAAACATGGGTGTATCAATAATAAAGATTGTAGTAACACTGCAAACATTTTCGACAAATGCACTACTTCTACTGGACAATGTGAAGTGCGATGCTGCAGCGAAAATTTATGCAATGAAGGTAACGTTGGGACGACGGTTAACAATATAAAGCTACCAAGTTACCAAACCAGAGCATCTCCAAAAGTATTCGTTCAAAGCAAAGCGTCCAAACCTGATAAGCGTGTGTCAGTCATGACGTCACAGAAAGCGACAATAACGTCACAAATTTGGATATGTCCCCCTTTTGGATCCGCCATCTTGGAATTCAATGGACAGTTCCAAAAACCAGAAAAAGAATCAAGGATAAGGAAAATGTAAAAAAAGTGTAATAAAATCGTCGCAAAGTTCCAATTCGAACTAAAACAGAAGCTCAAGCCTAAAAGCCCAAATTTGGGTAAAAACGACCTTTCTAAATACGGCTGCCATATAAACGTTAAGTCATGTCACAGAGTGTGACCACTGTAGCTTGAACATTGCTGTTGTAAGAAATTAATGAAATCAGCGCGGGCACTTTGTGTCTCACCCAAGCTCATATCGATTTAATAGATAAGAGTTGCTGTTTTAACTGCTCTTTATATTTATGTCCTTTTTTCAGGGATCAAAGAAGATAAAGCAACGCCAGAGGTTCCAACAGAAGAAAGTACGGTCTTCGATATACCGATTGCATACATATCGTTGGGTGTCGCCTGTAGTTTGTTGTTACTGTGTTCTGCAGTAGCCTTCTGGAGCCACAGGACGTCCAGTCGCAAGCGGCTTGAAAGGTTACCTCTTCCACTTGCACCCTCTGTTTCGTGCAAAACCTCATAATAGCAGTTGTAAGGCAGTTTTAACACATGTTATGTGACAGAGTATATTAAATCCGCTTTCCTAGTTTGATCACCCAATCAATTGTATACTAATGACTAAGCCGGTACTCTTACCCTTTATAACCACTCGCAGAAAATCTTCAGTTATGAGCAGTAAAGGCATGATGTACTTATAAAAGCTGCTTTGTCAAACAGAAACCAGTGGGCAATGCCAAGAACACTATGATAAACGGCATTTTTGTCATTATAATTACAGGTCAGCTCGGCGTCGACGTGAGATTATTCCATTAGACAAATGGGAAATTCTTCCTGAACAAATAGAATACGAAGAAGAGCTGGGTAGAGGAGCGTTTGGTGTGGTCTACAAAGCAATTCTGAAGAAGCGACAAGGAATAGAAGTGTTTGACAGCAGAGATGTGTTGGAATCAAACAAATCTTATCAGGTGGTTGCCGTCAAAAAGTTACAAGGTGCAGGTTTTGCAATGATTTTTGTCGTTGAATATGAAGGTGTATGGGTTTTATGAAGACGAATAGTGATTTCTTGTTTTTATGAAATCATTGTCAAGACTGAAAGGAGTTAAAAAGGCCTCAGAAAGACCTGCGAGAGAATCTTGAAAGCATGCATGATATAGACACGAGGAACGATCCACGATTGCATCTTGGCTTTCAATTTTGGACTCTATCCTGTGCTTGTATTGTTAGATTTTCCTTACAGTATCAGCCTTGCTCAACTGTGTTTCTATTTTTGGCTGATCAGATCTTTCACAGATTCTACGTTTATCAAGAGCATTTTAGTTTGCATTACCTTGCCACATTTGCATGTAGATCGACATGAAGAGTCCCTCCTTGTGGCAACAACATGAAACTGGAACAATGAATTTCACCTCATATTTTGGCAACTGTCTTTACGAATTTCCGTCCCCTTTTTCGGAAGAAGACATTTTTTTGTTCCCCGAAATTAACGATCCTCCGGAGGTAGCTAGTGAGCCCCAAAGGCTGCTAATTCAAGAATAAGGAGGGTCGTTACTTTCGGAATTTTATGTTCTATATATATTCTTTCCTTTCTCACAGAAGAAGTTGTTTTTTTTTCATGAAATACATAACATATCGTCACAAAACCAATCTGAAACCTAGAAAATGAACTGACTGTGTTTTAGATGGCATGAAACACACCAATATTTTTCGAACGGCTTACATTAGGGTTTGCTTAACAATTGAAGCTTAGCATTATGGTAACGACGTGACTAGTGGTAGAGACAAAATATCTGGTTTTCAATGATTTCCTTGTCGTTAGATGATCCAAGTGAAGCACAAGAAGACGAATTCCGTGTGAGGTAACAACATGACTATTGGTAGAGATAAAATATCTAGTTTTCAATGATTTCCTTGTCGTTAGATGATCCAAGTGAAACACAAGAAGACGAATTCTTGTTTGAGATATCGATGATGAAAGTGTTGGGTGCACACCAGAATGTTGTGTCCCTGGTTGGATGTTGCACACTGCAGGATCACAAGTTTCTGGTGATAGAGTACGTTCCATTTGGTGACTTGCTGCATTGGTTACGACGCAAGAGAAGATCGGTAGGAAGTTGTCGCATTGTCTCAAAAGTTTATATTATCTACTTTGACTCTGTCATGTGAAGACGAGGATGCAACCTTTAGCTCCAGTCTTGCTCCAGATCTTTGCTTGCCACAAGGAATGCCACGCGGCCTCTGTGCACAGAGATAGATGCATGTAAGGTATACAATCAGGTAGAGGAGGAGGGGGAGGGGTTGGGGCTGGAGTGTTGCAATTACGATAAATTACCGGTTCTGTTTACGCGTTCCCCTTAACAAGAGACTCTCTGATCAATGAAAGCGTACTGGTACATCTTACTCACGCAGGGACACTCTTGTTGATTGTATTCTAGATCGAGCCAAATCTGGCCACCGATGGACCGACGATAGATAAACGTTGTGACGAGAAGCAAGGACATAGCAAATCTTGCCAAGTAAGGTGCCTAAATTACAAAAAATAGAAAGTATTAGAACTTTTCATTCTGGATGATATTTTTGTTTGCGGCTGCGACTGGTAGAGGGCAGTACAACAAATCCCAAATTGTTCTACTCTGTAGGAGTACCTATTTTTTCCATGACAAAGACACCGGCAAGACTATCCACATTTTGGCAGACCAATGCAACCTCTGTGAATTCATATCCGATCACCATGAAGAAGATATAGGTTGTGCATAAGTTAAATGTTAATTCAGTTCACACAGGAAACGCAAGTTGTCCTGCAAGAGACGACGGAAGAAGATGCACTGACAGACCAAACCTCAGCAAAGATGAATTCAACTCTATCATATGACAACGAAGGTTTTATCCTTGATTTGACCAGCTCGTCGGATAATATTGCTGAAGTGAGAGCGAGCTTTCAGTGTTTTCTTATTCTATTTACATCATTTAAATTTTCGCATTTTAGAAGCCCCAGGGACGCAGGTAAAACAGAAAAGAACAACAGTAAAGTAGCAAAAAATAAAAGTTTCCAGTTTCAGTGCAACTCAAGTAGTTATGTAATATCACAAACGGTATATGCGCCCGCAATATTTACTCGTGCATTGATGTCCTACATTTTATTTACTGGTCAGCAGAAATAGCCCAAAAAGTTAACGGATGAGAGACCGACCCCCAATTTACATATTATTCGCATAATCTCCACACTAACAACAACTCGTAACTTGCTATTGCAATTCATGAGTTAAAACGGTGACCGCAGTAGTTGGTTCTTACTTTTGCCATATGAGAATGCTCAAAGCATGCTCTTATACTTGGTATTTACTTCGTGCCACAAAAAAATTTCAATTGGTAGCAATTGGGCAAATCTGAAGAGTGGGCATGTCTCCTCCTTTCAATTACTTTCTTGTTGATGTGAAATGCCTTATTTATAACAAACCAACTCTTATCGCCATACACAGTTGGTTAAATGTCTTGTTTTGTCTATTCAGGATGAGGGTAAGATTTCGTTGAACACAGAAACTGACATCGAACTGTCGGCGATACCGTTGACAACACAGAGAAAAGCTTCTGAACATTTGCTTTCGGACGAGAATCTCTATGATGGACATGAAGGAGACGACAGCTTTACCTCACAGCAGTTGTTTTCCTTTGCTTGGCAAATAGCAAGGGGGATGGTAAGGTCAAGATTCTTCCATACAAACCGACCAAGCTTGGTTAATAAGATGCTTATTAAAAACTTCAATTCGCTTATTGTAGCTAGTGCGTAGTCGCTGCCATTAATTTTGCGAATGAGGATGAAAAATTTGGTCAGAAGAAAGTCGTATTTTTTCCACGCGTTTAAGTCGCTCTTAGTATAGTATTGAGTACCCTTGCTTCTGGGCTTGCAAAAGCGTCTCAATTTCGTATTCAGTTGGTGTTTTGGTTGCCTGGTTTGAACTTTAATTTAACAAAGTCTGCTCGTTTTATTTGCCTTTTTTCTCTTCGTCTTTAGTTTCCTCCATTAGCATGTATGTATTTTTTGTTTGCAACTTTCTCACTGCCAATGTGAAAGGTAGATGGGAAAATCTAGCCTGCCGTTAACGTCGATTTTAACAAATCACTTTTGTGAGTTTGGTAGTTCCCAGTCTTTACGGAACACCGTCAAATAATAACAAGAGTTGTGTGAATAAAGTGGTATATACTTAAACGGTTATTTGGTCACATAGCGTGGTTGATCTTCTTTTAAGACTAATGTGTTTTCTTAAAATGCGTAGTTTCTCTTTTCTTTTTTCTCCCACTCAAGTCTACGAACCGATCAATTTTTTTTCTCATCCTTTGCTGGTTGGTTGACTAAGTAAGTAAAGGGGGGGGGGGGATAGTCAAAGTTATGATGCAAGTAGCATGAATTATGAGTAAAAATCGACTGCAAAGCTGGAAAATAAAAAATCACGTATATGTTGACAAGGAGGATAACAGCTTGCCGATGTAAGAGTGATAAGTCATCAAAGTCTTTTTGTGTGAGGTCCATCAACTTCTAACATCATAGAGTATTATGCCCCTTCTAAAAATTTTTCTTCTTGAACAGAATCACCTCGCAGAGAAAGATTTCGTTCATCGTGATCTTGCAGCCCGTAATATTCTGGTTGGTCACGATAATCGGGTCAAAGTGTCGGACTTTGGGTTGATGCGTCAAATCTATGAAGACGTGTACACCGCCAAAAAGACGACAAAGCTTCCTGTGAAATGGATGGCCCCAGAATCGTTCGAGTTCAGTGTTTTTACAATCAAAAGTGATGTGTAAGTAGATCTCCTGACTGTGCATTTGCTTCAGTGGCGGATCCAGACCTTGAGCTAAGGGGGGTGGGAGAGTGCGGTTTTGTTTTACTTGCCCTGTCGGCTTTTCTTCCTTCTGTGACTTCTTTTTTTTTAACCCAAAATAAGGGGGCCCGGGCTCCTCCCCTAGATCCGCCACTGTGCTTCACTGCGTTACGAATTGACATTTCTTGAATATTGTTATTTGTTAAAAGCTCAAGTTATTTTTTTGTAATTTCTGTAGAACAACAATAAGAACCAAAACTACTGAAAGCCGAATTTCAAAGAGAATGAACCATTTAATTTAATGATAAATGCCTTGCGTAAAGAAAAATGTAATACTTTGTTGTAAATTTCAAACTCTGCTGAAACACACAGGGAGAGATAGAAATGCTGCGTTTAGCAGGCAAAAGTGAATACCTCTTTGACGTGATGGTCTCCTGGAGTAGACACACCAACACGCCCTATAAATAGGCTCTAATGGATTTAGTTGAAGCAAAACATGATGAGGTGCTAGAAAGAATCTATTTTTTCTTAATAGTTATATATTTTTGCTTAATATTTAACAGTTGGTCCTACGGTGTTCTTCTCTGGGAAATGGCCACCATGGGTACGTAACACCTGCTCAGGTCGCTCTTTTTGTTTCTTATTTTTATAATCTAGTTTAGAAATATGGTTTGGTTTTCTGTACACTCGATCGAAAAACATAGTTGAATGTTTGTACTTAGGAAGAAAGAAAAGCCATTAACAAACTGAATAAAGCAAATCAGTTGAATAAACTCAGTTAAATAAGAAGAAACATATGTCAAAAATTCAATTCGTCCGCCGCTGAAGAGAGACACTCAAATTGTCTAAGCGATGTAAAAGCCTCCAATGATCATTTAGGACCATAAAAGGAAATGCAGGTGTCAGAAAACATATCCATATAAATATTTCCACAAAATACTTAGCTTTTCGGCGAAAATGAACGAAAACTCCTTTTAGACGAAATGCCGCCGAAATTTCTAAAGGCCATTGTTTTCATGTCTGCGAAATTTCTGTGATCTCTGTTTCGCGTTATAGGTGGACCAAAACCAAAGTTAGAAAAACCATAGTGGCGGCTGTAAAACCACGATGTAGACTTTGAAAGACGAATCAAGATCATTTCGACCTAATATTAATTAGCATTATTGCTTTTACGCAGCTAAACAACATTCTAAAACATGGTCAAAATACAACGGGCTGACCAGGTCCACGAAACATTCTCCATTAACTTTTGGTACATGTGCACACTAGCTTCTGCACTTTTTTGTCATTGCTTTTTATTTACTGATATCGGATCCAACGCAGGAGGTGCACCTTACCCCACAATGACCAACACACAAATATGTGGAGCACTGAAAAATGGTTATCGGATGGAAAGGCCGGCAATGTGCTGTGATGAAGTGTAAGTATGACTGAGTTTATCATTCGATGCATTTCTTCTTCTTTTTCATTGGCCGAGAGCCCACCACTTAACCATTAAATAACTGCCTACAAATAATGGTCTGCTCATGCGTAGAACCATCTTAATGTGCTTTGCCGCACGGCAGATAATCTGTTGACGAGTAATTGTAAACACGCTCTTGTGTGAAAAATGGCTGATCGCTTCTCTGAACTATCAGAGAAGTTGGAGCACGAATAAACAATTTCTTTTGTTTTTGTCCCTCAAGCCTCGGTACCAAGTAGCAATTTTAATAGATCGAAATTAGCCTATCGTTCTTGTTTTGATTTTCTGTTACTTGCATTGAGATATATCAATAAAGGACCTATAAATGTTGCAATAAGCGAAAAAAAGTATTGTTATTCTTTTTCTAACTTGATAATGAAACGTCGTTTTTAAGGGTTAATATTCATTTTAAAGAACTGTTGGATCAGTATTTACAAAATTAAACTACTGCAGTTTGTCTTCAGAGCCGTTTTTTCCCCTAAATTTTCACCTTCTTTTAACAGATATGAATTGATGAATGAATGCTGGAGGGAAGATCCAGCTACTCGCCCCAGTTTCTCGGAGTTGATGGGCAGAGTGGAAACTGTCATGACAAGGAATGTGCCATACTGCGACTTGAGCAAGCATGACGAGTTCAGCCCATATTACAGCGTACCCGTTGATGCCTTTTCCGAAACAAGCGTGTAGGGGTGCTAGCGATGTGTTTATATAACAGGCGCGAAAAAAGTCGCTAGTTTTGACTCAAGTTTTGCTTATGCAAGATAAAACAAGAGAGAAAAAGAATCATCCCTATAGTAACTGTTGTTCCTAAAAAAAAACTGATCTAATTTATAGTTAGGCAAAAAAGTTAAGGGCGGTTAGTTTTGTTTGGACATACATAAGCACAAAAGAGGAATCACGTGGGAGAAAGTGAATGTGTGGAAGTTTAGGAGAGGACTTCACAGGAGAGAGACCTTTTAATTTTAACTTGCGCTAAACAATGGTTTACACATTACATGTTTTAACTTTAAAATTTCTCCTTCTTTGTTTTCTTTTTATTCACCTGCTGCCAATATAGAACTTAAATTATACGGAGAGTTAACAAGGAAACCAACTGTTTAATTTAGCCTCCAGCTCGAACTTGAATTTCAATAAAGATAGAATCAATTTTATCAAGCCATATAATTTCAGGATGTGAAATTATTCAGTTAATTATATGACTGAGCTCAATGAAGAATTATTATTACTATTTCATTACGCAATTTGCGCGGAACAATGTGACAGAGATACTACGTTATTTGAGGTAGTTAACTTAACTCTATTGATAACTTATTTCGATATGTAGGTCGATTCCTTTTGATGGTGTAGACGGTTCAAACTCAGGATTATGTTCAGGGTACCAAAAATAGAAACCCTATCGTACCAAATGAAGCGCCTTTTTGGGAAATGAAGTTTGACATTGCTGAAGAATATGCAAAATGTTACATGTTTATTTATCGCTAACATGTCACGCTAAAAACTGTAAGATCCTATAAAGTATGTGTGTCGCGGCACTACGTTAATCTAAGATACCTGAAAACTTTAAAAAGAGTGACAGCACTGCCTTGGCCGGGGCACTCCTTTCCTGTTTTACCACCTGCTGGTTTTCAAGGCTTTTCGTGTTTGGCTTTGGTGCACTTAGTTTTTATACTTCAGTTGTAGTTTGCGAATCCTTGTAACATCTGTTGAGACTAAATAAATGACAAAGTGGCTTGGCTGGCCAACGCGCCAAAATATAATCACGATGTGTCTAGATGTGTATGTAGTGGAGACGACATTTTCGGTGGATGATTGCTCCTTTCACTTATGGCAATTGTCTGGGGGAAAACGTAAACAAGTTGTCGTGAACTTTTAATCTATTAGCATAGCTCGGCCGCTAATCTTTCGACATTTAAATATTTAAACAAATCTTAGGTACGCTTAGTCACGTTAACCGATTTGTAACATCAAGATGTTGTCCGCCGCCATATTTCATCCAGGATTGTGATCGGCCAAGTCTACTGAATAACGCTTATCATCTACAAAGCACTACTCGAACAGTTTTTGCTTAAAATGAATTCAAATTCTGCTGGAATGTACGCAAGTCATCGCAAAATGTTCTGACATGCTGGGATATGACAAAATGCCTCCAATGATGTACTTACGATGTAATTATTGAATTTTCCTTGTCTTTGAACTTCATCTTTAATTTTGGAAATTGTTTCACAAAGTTCACACGACGCTGATGGCGCTTTGAATGACAGGTTGTGCAAGCCAAAAGACCAATAAAGCAGATTAACACGACAAGTGACAACAAGGTGCTAAAGGAATGCTATCCATTGTCAGGTTCGAATGTTTGTCATAATATACTGGGACAAATTTACTGCGGTAAGCAACTCAGATCTGTTGTGGTTAAGTGTACTGAAGAACCTCACTGTAAGAAGACTTTCTTGGGGCGGCGAAAGGAAACGCAATGCCGGTGAATTAATTGTTTATATCCGATGAAGCTAAGAGTGTTGAAGAACAGAATTATGTAAACAGGTCTGAAACTTTTGAATCGGTGGCTCCCGCCATGACAAGATTTGAGACTTACTTTGCGAAAGCCATCCCGTCGTTGCTGCTTTGCTGTGCTTTTTGTGGAGGTAGGTGAACGACCAAAGCCATTTATTGTATTATAAAGAAGGATCAGGGAAATTCTTATCATTCACTCACCATAATTATACAACAACACACGAAATTCTCTCTTTGCTAAACTTGGGCTGTTAGATATTCCTGCATTATTCCCAACCCCATATCGAGTTTAATTCTTTTCACTATAGCTTTACCTTGCCTTTAAGCTTTCTGTTACATTTATCTCGGGCAAGAAAGCAGGTGAATTTAGTCATGTCTAGGTTTATGAATAAATGTTGCCAATGATGTATGTAATACACCGTGTGAGTCTTTATCGTTACATGTNGAAGAATAGGGTGTTTCTTTTAAGCGCCTATGACCTGGTACAGTTTCCCGCGGAAGTTTTGTTCTAAAACACAAATTAATTTAACACAAATATTAGCTCGAGAAAGAAGAAAAAGAAAGAAATTAAACACAAATATTAGCGTGAGAAGAAGTTTGAGGGTTTATAAGCAGTTTTTACAAACACAAAATTTCGAAGAGCTGCCATCAGCGCATAGGCCCTCGACTACAATACTAAATCGTCCTGTACCTGCTCCATGCCTAAAAATGACAACGGCATTCAGTTACTGTAAATTTCAAACCACTAGCCATCTCTACTTCGGCGAATAATTGTAGATATAAATGTTTCGAAATTTTCCTCCAAAATAAAGGGGAAACGAAAACCATTGGGTGGCGAACTCCAGCCTTGACTGCAACGTACTGCATGCAAATGATGATAGTACGCAATGCAATAGCTCAGCCAATCCGTTTGCAGTATTTGCCTTAGCATATAAGTAGAATTCTACTAAATTTGTTATTTCTTTAGCATTAGCAAAACTTATTCTTCTCCGCAGTGTGATCCTGGAGTTGGCATGCACATTTTATATGATCACATCTACAACAAACCAACGAAAATTATGCTGCTCGGAGCAGCCTTTTCACCAGTCTCTCAGCCCATAGCCGATACCTCGAAGTACTGGAATCTACTTCAGGTAAGCAAGCGGTTAGGATTGAACCTCTGTCTAACAAACTCAGGGGTTTGCTTACGATGTTCCATAGGTTTTTACTTGTTATGTTGTCCACAACATTAACACTGATTTGATCCAACGGAAGGAAGAAAATTGTTTTGAGGAAACTAGCTGTTTAATTTAATTTCCATTATACGTTTTAGGAAAGAAAAGATAATTTGTAGTAGGTAAGCCAGTTTCTCTACACTTATTATTATTTATTCGATACCAATATGTAAACGGAATATAATTTCAATGTAAACGGCAGGTTCATTGTCTCCTGTTTTTTTCTATTACAAGTTCTGATTCCAACCAATATCAGACAATTAGTCCCACCTTGCCTCATCTTCAAGTCCCGCTCTGACCACTAAGCTGGAGTTGTTTCTTGGTAGACCCTAGTTCAACTCCTCAGTCACACTTGTAAATAGCCAACCGATCTGCCTCTCGCCAGTTGGGATTTTAAGGCTGTTATGTTTAGTTGATATTTTTTGTTTCTTTCAGTTTAAGTGGCATGCCTGTGAAATAGCTAGGTGTAGTTAAGCACATTGTAATAACATATAGACATTTTTTGAACATTTTGAACATCTACTGATTAATAAAGAAAAAGAAAAGATAGCTTTGTTTCTTTGTTTCTTCCTCAGGTGTCTTACGCATCAACATCTCCAGCTTTACAAAACCGAGAATTGTATCCTCGTTTCTTTCGAACAATTTCTTCTGACTTAGCCTTCAACCCAGCACGTGCCGCATTGTTAACAAAATATGGATGGAAAAGAGTGGCCACACTGCACCAGAATGAACCATCGGGAATCTTCTCACAGGTATGTTCAAAATGTTGTCATCTCGATAAATATCAAGCTGGACGATTTCGTCGAGATTTCTTAGGCCACTTTAACAAAAATGTTTAGTCGAAAGGGAATGCCGATCGAAATTTTGACTGCTGCCATATAATTCACGAACACGGCCATACTATATAATAATTGCGTTTGCTTAAATAAATGGCAGGCTCTTGTATCAGTAGCACCCATCTACTAATCTCGCTAAGCGTTTTTCTTTATCTAATGTGGCTTTCTCTACATAGGCCACTAAAAAACTCCACAAGCTTCTCCATGACATGGATATTGAGATTGTTGCAGGAGAAAGTTTCTCTGGAAATCCAGCCAATCAGCTAGCGAATATCAAGGTAGGTTCATCTTAGTTCACGAACTATTTCATTTGTTTATTTTACCAGTTCAGTATAGCTTCAAATTAACCGTGTTTTTATTCCTTTAGAGAAAAGATGCGAGAATTATCATCGGCAGTTTTTACGAGGAAAGTGCAAGACATGTGTTCTGCGAGGTATTGTTAACATTTTTGCGNCATGGTAGTTTATGGCGTCATATTGCGCGGTCAGGTATAGAGATATCAATATGGAGACTATAGAGGACGACTTCTTGCTGGAACTGTGTATATTCATTCCAAATATAAATTATAAATGATTAGAAGCCTTTTTATATCTCTAGATTCAAGCAATGTTGTATTTTAAAAACGTCCAACCACGAAATGACGTCATTATTACCCATCAAGCTTTACAAAAATAAACATGGCGATGTAAAGGAAATTTGAAATCTTAAAACAGCCGAAGTAAAAACCCCAACAAAGAAATATCGACTTCAAATCACTGTAAGAGTTGAAACCGAACGCAAACTTGTGTTTTGGAACAAATCTGTATTTTAGCTAAGATTCCGTGCGATGTTTCGCAACGTAAACGTAGGGAAGAGGAAATGCGATTTTTTATGCACGTCGGAGGGTTGGATAACTAACTCTGTAAAAACCAGGTATTTTTCTCTTATTCTTTATACTAATGTGAATCTGATTTTTTTTTATGAGATGGTGAAAGTAAACGAGTTGGTGTCTATGACGCCATAACGGATTCTATAATGATGAACGAGCGAGAGCCAATCAGATGGCAAGGTTAGTTTTTTATTCATTACTGGGTAGTTCCATCATAACACTGACAGCTTACCCAAATCAATCTAACAGTCAAAGGAAATATTTATTTTTCTTTTTGTTTGTTCCTCATTTGAAAGGCTCTGGACCCCCAAGGGACCGCACCATTCGCGAAACGGAGCTGAAATCAGTCTCTACAGCACTTTACGCTTTCATGGCAGTCTTGGCTATCATTGGAGTCTTACTGGGAATTGCCTTCCTCTTAATCAACTTTCTTTATCGTGAAAGAAGGTAGTTGTGGCTTAAAAAGCGTTAAATCGATAACAAACGTCTCTCTTTTACCGAGAAAAAGAATAAGAACGCGCCCAATTTGATCGTCCGTGTTGACGATGAGCGGCGCCACTTTCACGTCAAGTAAAATTGAGAAGAAATATATCAAACGTGAGAGACAGTGATTCATTGGGATATCCAAACACCGAGAAGAGAGTTGAAAATACGCCGCACAGCGGAGTATTTTTGACGAAAGTCGAGGTGTTTGGATAGCCGATGAAACACTGTCTCGAGAGTTTGATATATCTTCTCAATCGAAACAAAAACCAAGGAGTAAAGGGAGAAATAAATCGTCAAAATCTGTGTAATTAGGACCGGGTATCCAAACCTCCTTCGTGGTTGTGATACTCTTTATTTTAACTTGATGAATTATTAATGAAATTGAGAACGCTCAGTGAAATGAAGTAAACCTGTCCAATAATCTGCTTTTGAACACTACTGTACACAGTATTCTGTACTAAATTATAATAATACCCTCTTCTGCTCAGCACGTTACTGGCGTTCCCTAAGGGCATAAAAGCAGAATTAAAAACAAATAAAGTAATAAACACATAAATAAAGGGAGTCAAAGACATAAATTTAGCACTAATATCTTGATTTACCAACGTCTCGTAGAACAATAATTTGCCTTTGGCAAGGGTAATGTTTCGTTTGAAATCATTAATTGCTTGCCACTGATAAATTGTGATATCTGTTCTACTTCGTCTGGTAAGTTACCCATCTGAACTAAAACGCTAATGGGGTGTCCAACTGACTATGTTGTAGAACTGATGTCATTTTTTTTCATTATATTTTCAGGATAATAAAGATGTCTAGTCCTCGCCTTAATAACGTAATCGTGGTGGGCTGCATAATGACTTACTTCTCGGTTATTTTGTTTGGAATAGATGGCGGATTGATATCTACTGAGCAATACGGAAAAGTTTGCATTGTGAGTAACTCACTTCTATGTATATTTATACCATGCCATAGAAAATAGAACCAATCAGAGTACAAGAAAATCGTTGTATACTTGACGGTATTACATCCAACCTTTTCACCACACACTTTATTGTTGGTGCGTCATCGAAAGTTTTATCTGGCGTTTCGTATTTATTTTGAAAACGAACCTAGCTATTTTTGTTTTCCTTTCTTTCTAGGCTCGTGCTTGGATCATGTCTATTGGTTTTACTCTGGCGTTTGGCGCAATGTTCGCTAAGACGTGGCGAGTGCATGCAATCTTTAAAAGCATAACTCCCAAGAAGAAGGTGAATTAGTTTTAGAGCCTAAGAATGGAAATATTCGAGATAATGGGAAATATCATGAACATGTTTCAATGTAATTAGAAATTTATCATTAACTGACAAATTTTAATTACGCTATTAGAGGTGGGACGGACTAAAGACGGATAGATCCATGGTCTCAACTTAGCTCTATCGTTCTTTCCTGTTTAATTAAGTACCTGCAAAACGTACATCCAACCTGTCCATGGGTAATGAAGACCATTTCAACCACTCAGTGCCGCGGATCCCTAGGATTTAGGCTGTTTGACGAGGGGCTAATTCGTGAGATTGGCACAGTGACAAAGAACAGGGACGGTTATTTTTTCTCTTAGGTCATTCGTGATGAACATTTGTTTCTGATGGTGGGGGCCTTTGTGTTGTTGGACATTATTCTCCTTTCCTTGTGGACTGGGATCGAACCAATGTATACTGGCTATCAGCAGTTTGACGATAAGGTATGGTTAATAAATCAACAAGAAAAAACAAACAATTAAAAACAAAAAGAGCAAAAGCAGCAATAAAAAACGAAGCAAAAAACAGAAAGAAAAGAAAAGAAAAGAAATTTTAATTGTCCCCAATGGTTCTGATTATATAATGGTAAATTCATGGCGTCTGCCGATTGTGACATTATAATCGGGTTTGTATAGGATTTCCTAATGTTGCATTAGAATTCTGTAATCAAATACATATTGTTGCATTGCTGGACATTTACCACTGGAAGGACATTTAGCGCTATATTTTCACATGATAGTTCATTTTGGGATGTGGAAATGAACGCGACATTTTATTCATATGTAGTTTTTCAATCATCATATTAAATGTAGTCTTAGAATACTTAGACACAATAGGCATTGACTGCACTTAACTTGACGGACTTAGTACGTAAATAACAACGTTTGCATCAATTTTAGATGCGATTAGAGGACGACAGAGAAATCATCCCAGTCCTAGAACACTGCGAGTCTGACAACCTTTCGTATTGGCTGGGAGCAGTGTACGCGTTTAAAGGCCTCCTGTTGGTATTTGGTGTGTTCCTTGCGTGGGAAACACGCGCGGTTACAATACCAGCGCTGAACGACTCACGTTATATAGGTTAGTACGTTTAATTTTGTTAAGTTGGATCGTATGGTGCTTTGCGTCAATTACAGTCTGTGCAATTCTGAGAGAGTGAACCTTTCACCAGGGTTTTAAGATCAACTAGCCTAGTGTAACCACAGAAAGTGATTGGTGAAAGTTCAACAGTTCGTGCTCGCGGTCTGGGGCCAAGGGAAAGGGTGGGAGATTCCACCGATGCAGTCTTACAGAATAATTTTTCAGTAATTGGGGAAGGCAATATCTGAAACAATAGGTTGAAATTGTAAATTAAACAACGTAGCTGTGGTTAATTTACAAGAAACGTTACGTACAAGGTGCCTGTCAAGTTTTTTTCCAAATTTCTCTCTTAGGAATGTCAGTTTACAATGTTGTAATACTCTCCATTCTTGGCGTGGCTATCACTTCTGTTATTCGAAGTCACCAAGATGCAACCTTCGCCATTACTGCTGTGTTTATCATCTTCTGCACCACATTGACTCTCTGCTTTGTGTTCGTGCCAAAGGTTTGTTTACACACCACTTTTTTATATTTGCATAATTCGTAATAATTTTATGGTAAAATATAGGCGTTAAGGTTAGTGCGAATAGCTTGCTTGATCATCACTATCAACAGCTTTGTTGTAGAAACAATTGACAGTAGATCAGTGTATCTTTTTTTTTTTTTTTACCAATACTAACATTAATTCTCCTAATCAAGGGAAACCAGGGCCATAGCCAGTATGAAGCAAACTGAGGCATTTGCCTCCGTCATTTGTTTTGTTTTGTTTTTGTTTTTTTTTTGGAGGGGGAAAGTTAAACAATACTAAAATGTAACTACGGACATTGCCTCAGTCATAATTTTTTTCTGGTTTTTTGCCCTGGAAACATTAATTAGAAGAAATCAGTGTTAAATACAGCGCCGCGTGCAAGTACCCTGGCGTACAGATGTTCAATGCTTACAACGTCCCTCAGACTAATCCAGTCATATTCCAACTGAACCGTATTTTTAAGGTGACAAAACTGTGGTCTCCAGACGGTGGAAACGAAGCCAGTACAACGCGTCGAAGTAATGCTAATCCAGATTCCTTGTCCACCATGGACAAAAATGCTGTCAGTATGACCATGGAAAACTCACAGCTCAAGAAACTACTAGCTGAGGTAGGCTTTTATCCTAATGTCAAATACGATGCCCAGGAATTGGCGGAAAATAAACACTGGCTTGTTCTCACCGGGAAATAATTGAAACGAAACGCAGTCCGAGGTTACCTAATGATTTTCAGCCCGTCACTTGCTATATACTTGAAGTAATATGTGTCATAATGATTACACTTCAAATTTAGTTTTACATCATTCATAACGAAATTGTTCTATGCCAACAAATATGCAACACAATAGCGTCTTCAAACGTTCTTCTTTAGGTCTTAATGATTTGCCGGTGAGGCGGAGACCCAAAGGGTAGTGTGTTAGACACTACATCTGGCGGTCCGTNAGATGCCGGTCTAGATGGGAAAATCTAGACCGCGGTCAATATCGATTTCAGCCAATCGAATTCGTGAATTCGGTAGTTCCCAGTCCTTGTGAGACACAATCATATAATAAATATATCTTATTAGATGTTTTGGTGTGTAATATCGCTGTATATTTTTTATGAGTTGTGCAAAACGCATAAAAATATACAGCGATACTACACGAGCCCGTAGGGCGAGTCAAAATACAAACAACGAGTAAAAATATACAGCGATATTACACACCAAAACATAGGAGATTATTATCCATCGGCTGTAGTCAATAAATTTATCAATGAAAGAGGGAGAGTGTGACAGTTTTGCGCGCGTGCGCCGACCTGTACGGCAAACAGGTTTTCTACTGTACAAATACGACAAACAGGTTTTCCACTGTACAATATCGCTGTATATTTGTAATGTTATTTAGACAGTATTCGCTGCAGTTGGATAACAAATCGAAATAAGCAGAGTATTTTCGCGAGATCCAATCCCTTTGTTTCCGTCACTTCATTTTTCTTTCTAGCGGGAACAACATTTAATGGAACTTAAAAGACTCTTGGAGGCCTTACCACCCGACTTAAGCGAGGATGCAAGCTCGACTAAGAAGTTCAAGAAACGTCAGTCATTGGTGAAATTCAGACAAGATGAGCAGTCATATACAAATGAAAACTTTGTGTCTGACGAGGAAATTGCTGGTAACAAGGGCCTGGGAAAAGACAGGACAAGCTCATCATCTGATCGTGGTGAAATAAGGATTTAAAGGAACATTGCCTAGCCAAAAAAATTTAACCAGGCCACAGCAAACTTAATTTTCCATGCTTTCTGCAACACGCAATATAGTTTTTTTTTTTTCTGGCACGATTGAGCCACTTTTTTGTACTATAGCCATCATTTCCTTTGTGGGATATAACTGCACATTATGGGTCATTATCTGTAATCATTATCTGTTATCGATGCGTCTGAGAAGCCGATGAATGGGCAGCAAAAAAGAGAAAATAAGATAATCAACAGATATAGAGTCGTATTAAATCAATGTTGATACATCCATTACAGAATTGTAGACCTATACCTAATGTACTAGCAGAAATATTCTTTAACAAAGGAAATGAGAAGCGTAACTTTTACACTGATGAAAAGAAAGTAATCTTAACACTTCGAGCGAATTTCTGTACTTTATGAAAAAGATGATTCCTACGGTGAAGCAGACAAATAGTAATTGTAACTAAAACTTCATTGAAAACATTAATTCAGCATACCTCCGTCGATTGGTTCGATTTTGCATTCTCATATATTATCATTGATAGCTTGATTACTATGGTTCAGTCAGATCTTGGTTACGTAATGATATATATCGATAGTATAAAACCGATATTGCCCTACGAACACAATTAACTTACAATGCTCCAAATCTTTCTTGGACCTTCATCTGGGTGCAAATCAGCTGAAATGATTTCTATTCTACATCAGGAAAGCTCCTGCATTCATAGTACGCACACAAAAAAGCAAAAACTAGCTCTTTCTACAATGTAATAAAAAGAAATTATGTCAGTTAAATTAGTTCTGAAATTCATCAGATTGTTTAAGGCAAATCCTCCGTAGAAAAAAAGATGGCAACTGATACATTCACACATTATTTTTAGTTCAGTTAAAAACGTACAGAAAAGTTCTAGAATCTTCAAACCTGGCATATACAATGTCGTTAGCACAGGGACAAATCTTGCAAAAATATGGCTTTCCTTGTACTTTGTGGGCTGTGTAAGGCTCGCATGGTATTGTGGTAAAATGTACAGCCCCCATCTTTTTTTTTGTTACGGAGAATTACGTCATTTCCTTGATTTTCTCAAGCACTTGCTGTTGTTTGTTTAATCATGCCATACTTGCTACCATTATCATCTGTATGATACAAAGTTGACGAAATCGTATATACATTTAAAATTATTTCGATAGCTTGTACCTAACTTACTATGTGTCAACTCTTTCACGATTCAGAGCGGAAATGTTTTTGTTAACTTTCACAAACAAAATCCCCGCAAAAATCTGTGTTTACGACACTTCCGAGTATTTTACAAGGATTGACCGAGGTTGCGTTTTGGCACCGCTTTGGGTGTTACATTTCCAACTAGGGCGCGTTTTAATTTAACCTCAAATACACAGGTTTTATTGTCATATAAACAAATTCTCTTCAGTTTGGGAATAGGCTCAAGACCGGCCAATTTCACTTCGCATCAATAACTTGAAAAATAGACATCTTTTAGGACTTCCCTAAACTTCCGTAGAGCGTCGAGCAGCCTCCCCGGCCAACATCGTTAACTTAAACCGAGCAGCACTGTCTTTAGAATCTACTGTTTACATTTTTGTTGCTGTTTTAATCGACGACAGGTGCTCTGTAGAATATTAAGAATGTTGTAAGAAGAGAAATGAATAAAAACAGCCAGAAAAACATCCGATCCATTATTAGGGCGGCAATACGCCATTCTTCTCTCTGTCTGTCGTCTTCCTGTCGTGCGCGAACGTCCTCAGCCAGAGTATTGATATCTTCGAGAAGCCTCTCGGCGAACGAACTGTGGCCTCCTATGATACTCATACTGCGAACACTTCGCCTGCTCGGAGTGCTCCGACCGCTCTGAGAAATAAGCGACATGTCATCGCGAAACTTTCGTGGACTCTCCGGATCCGGCAGCGTCATGTAAGTATCGTCATCGAACACGACGTCACCGTTCAAGTCGAACTCGATTTTCCTTCGTTTGGCTTTAGGCGTCATTTTTGCTTCCTCTTCTGTCTCATTCCTGTAGCAGAACACTTTTGCCATGTACCCCAGGATGATGACACGTACCCATCCGGGCATCGGCGAAGTCGACGGACTACGGTGAAAAAAGTTTAAAATTGTGCAGGTTCCGACAAGTGACATTGCAGTGACAGACATGGTTGCGATGAAATACTGACCCAGCAATGGGACATCGTCGGACGTTGCCGGGAGTGTTTCAGCAACGAGTAACAAGAACACGGTCATTGCCAAGAGAACAGTAATGCCCAGACCGACTTTTTCTCCAGATTCAGGCGGCAGGAAGAACTTGATCAGTGTTAGTGTGGAAATTAAGGCACATGGTAGGATTAAATTGAACACATAATACAAAGGCTTTCTTTTGATAATCAAGTACAAGGTGACATCATGGTAAGGATACGGGCAGCAGTTGTAATATACCTTGTTTAACTGAGCCGGCATCGCTATTAGATTCCATTCACCATTTTGTAGGTATAGGTTTAGATCAGCTGATGGTTGTGCCGATTTCATTGTCAAGCGGTCGCCCTGGAAAGTCCATGAGCCGAATTTCAAAGAACAGTTTTGCTTGTCAAACGGGAAATTAGCCACGTTGATTTTGCAGGTGCTTGTAAACGAGGCTGGGGCATTCCATTCGTTGACTCCATTAGAGTGAAGAACAACAGATGTCTTATATTTCTCTAATCCACCGCCATTGCTGTCATCCGCACTGCAGACAAAACAATATAGATTGTGTGAATACTTCTTTCATTTTATTTCATTTTTTTTTTTTCATTTGATTTACTTTTTTCTGTTAATAATCGATAGCAAGAGATTGATAATCTGTTGTCGATAGCAAAAGAACAATTTCCCAGGGCTTACATTCTTGCACCGCAGTTCGAATCCAATTAAAACCTATTATCATCAGGAGCCATAATCGGGGAAGGAGATCGTAGGCGCGCGCCATTTCTAGTATTGGGGTTGTCCCCATGATATGGGACAATAATTCTATTTTTAGAACAAATTGCGCCAT